ATTCTCAGGAAAATTTGCGGTTTTGAGGCTTTGAAAAACAAATTTTTTGCCTTTAGATAACTTTGATTTTATACTTAAGTTTTAAAGCAAAACTGTGAATTTTTGGAAAATCATGAGGAATTTTTTGAAATGAGTCATTTGTAAATATTCTCAGGAAAATTTGCGGATTTGAGGCTTTGAAAAACAAATTTTTTGCATTTGGATAGCTTTGATTTTGTAATTAGGTTTTAAAGCAAAACTGTGAATTTTTGGAAAATCATGAGGAATTTTTTGAAATGAGTCATTTGCAAATATTCTCATGAAAATTTGCGAATTTGAGACTTTGAAGAGCAAGTTTAGATAGCTTTAATTTTGGAATTAGGTTTTAAAGCAAAAATCTGTTTGTTAAAATTTTTGGAAAATTATGCGGAATTTTTTGAAATGAGTCATTTGTAAATATTCTCATGAAAACTTGCGGATTTGAGGCTTTGAAAAACAAATTTTTTGCCTTTAGATAGCTTTGATTTTATACTTAAGTTTTAAAGCAAAACTGTGAATATTTGGAAAATCATGAGGAATTTTTTTAAATGAGTCATTTGTAAATATTCTCAGAAAAATTTGCGGATTTGAGGCTTTGAAAAACAAATTTTTTGCCTTTAGATACCTTTGATTTTATACTTAAGTTTTAAAGCAAAACTGTGAATTTTTGGAAAATCATGAGGAATTTTTTGAAATGAGTCATTTGTAAATATTCTCAGGAAAATTTGCGGATTTGAGGCTTTGAAAAACAAATTTTTTGCATTTGGATAGCTTTGATTTTGTAATTAGGTTTTAAAGCAAAACTGTGAATTTTTGGAAAATCATGAGGAATTTTTTGAAATGAGTCATTTGCAAATATTCTCATGAAAATTTGCGAATTTGAGACTTTGAAGAGCAAGTTTAGATAGCTTTAATTTTAGAATTAGGTTTTAAAGCAAAAATCTGTTTGTTAAAATTTTTGGAAAATTATGCGGAATTTTTTGAAATGAGTCATTTGTAAATATTCTCATGAAAACTTGCGGATTTGAGGCTTTGAAAAACAAATTTTTTGCCTTTAGATAGCTTTGATTTTATACTTAAGTTTTAAAGCAAAACTGTGAATATTTGGAAAATCATGAGGAATTTTTTTAAATGAGTCATTTGTAAATATTCTCAGAAAAATTTGCGGATTTGAGGCTTTGAAAAACAAATTTTTTGCATTTGGATAGCTTTGATTTTGTAATTAGATTTTAAAGCAAAATTGTGAATTTTTGGAAAATCATGAGGAATTTTTTGAAATGAGTCATTTGCAAATATTCTCATGAAAATTTGCGAATTTGAGACTTTGAAGAGCAAGTTTAGATAGCTTTAATTTTGGAATTAGCGAGGTTTTAAAGCAAAAATCTGTTTCTTAAAATTTTGGAAAATTATGCGGAATTTTTGAAATGAGTCATTTGTAAATATTTTCATGAAAATTTGCGGATTTGAGGCTTTGAAAAACAAACTTTTTGCCTTTAGATAGCTTTGATTTTATACTTAAGTTTTAAAGCAAAACTGTGAATTTTTGGAAAATCATGAGGAATTTTTTGAAATGAGTCATTTGTAAATATTCTCATGAACATTGCAGATTTGAGACTTTAAAGAGCAAATTTCTCGGCTTTTGATTGGTTGGATTTTTAATTAAGTTTCAAACCAAAACTCTGTAAATTTTTGGAAAATAATGCAGAATTTTTTGAAATGAGTTATTTGCAAATATTTACGTAAACATTGGGAATTTGAGACTTTGAAAAGCAAATTTCTCGGCTTTTGCTAGGTTTGATTTTGGAATTAGGTGTCAAAGGAAAATTCTATTTGCGAATTTTTAACAGACGAAGTTTTGAATTTTTCGAGGTGGGTCATTTGCAAATTTTCTTATTAAAGTTTGCGGATTTGAGGTTTTAAAGGACACTTTTTTCGCCGTTAGATAGTTTTAATTTGGAATCAGGTTTCAAAACAAAACACTACGAATTTTTGCAAGATCATGCGATATTTTCTAAAATGACTTATTTGTAAATATTCTCATGAAAATTTGTGGATTTGAGATTTTGAAGAGCAAATTTCCTGCCATTGGATAGGTTTGATTTTGGAATTAGATGTCAAAGCAAAATTTTGTTTGCGAATTTTTGGAAAACTATGCGGAATTTTTGAAATGAGTCATTTGTAAATATTCTCAGGAAAATTTGCGGATTTGACGGTTTTAAAAACAAATTTTTCGCCTTTGGATAGCTTTGATTTTCTATCTAATTAAGTTTTAAAGCAAAACTGTGAATTTTTTGAAAATCATGAGGATTTTTTTTTTTAATAAGTCATTTGCAAATATTCTCGTACATATTGCAAATTTTAGATTTTGAAGATCAAATTCGGTCGGCTTTTGATAGGTTGGATTTTAGAATGTCAAAACAAAGTCTGTGAAGTTTTAGCGGACCATGCAGGCGAAGTTTGGAATTTTTCAAGATGAGTCATTTGCAAATATTTTTATGAAAATTTAGGGTTTGAGGCTTTAAGTGACAAATTTTTCGCCTTTAGATAGCTTTGATTTGGGATTAGGTTTAAAAAAAACCTGTGAATTTTTGCAAGATTATGCGATATTTTCTAAAATGACTTATTTGCAAACATTCTTATGAAAATTTGTGGATTTGAGGCTTTTAAAAGCAAATTTCCTGCCTTTTGATATGTTTCTAAACAAAATTCTGTTTGTGAATTTTTTTTTCCTGTTGCGGAATTTTTTTAAATGACTCATTTGCAAATATTCTCATAAACATTGCCAATTTGAGACTTTGAAAAGCAAATTTTTCGCCTTTGGATAGCTTTGATTTTGTAATTAGATTTTTGAATTTTTGGAAAATTATGAGGCTTTTTTTTTAAATAAGTCATTTGCAAATATTCTCATAAACATTGCGGATTTTAGACTTTGAAGAGCAAATTTCTCAGATTTGGATCGGTTTTTGGAATTAGGTGTCAAAGCAAAACCATGTTTGTGAATTTTTGAATGGCGAGATTAAGAATTTTTCGAAATGAGTTATTTGCAAATGTTCTCATGAAAATTTGAGGCTTTTAGGAGCAAATTTCTCGCCTTCGGATAGATTTGATTTTGAAATTAGGTGTCAAAGCAAAACTCTATTTGTGAATTTTTAGCAGACGAAGTTTTGAATTTTTCGAGATGGGTCATTTGCAAATGTTCTTATGAAAATTTATGTATTTGAGACTTTAAAGAGCAAATTTTTCGGTGTTAGATAGCTTTGATTTGGGATTAAGTTTCAAAATAAAACGCTTTGAATTTTTGCAAGATCATGCGTGGTTTTTGAAAATGATATATTTGCAAATATTCTCATGAAAATTTGTGGATTTGAGACTTTGAAGAGCAAAATTTTCCTGCCTTTGGATAGGTTTCTAAGCAAAATTCTGTTTGCGAATTTTTGGAAAACTATGCGAAACTTTTTGAAACGTGTCATTTGCAAATATTCTCATGAACATTGCGGATTTTAGACTTTGAAGAGCAAATTTCTTGTATTTGGATCGATTTTTGGAATTAGGTTTCAAAGCAAAACCCAATTTGTGAATTTTTGAAACACGAGATTAGGAATTTTTCGAAATGAGTTATTTGCAAATATTCTAAAAATTTGCGGATTTGAGGATTTTAGAAGCAAATTTCTCGTTTTGGATAGGTTTGATTTTGGAATTAGGTTTCAAAGCCAAACTTTGTGAATTTTTAGCAGACAATGCAGACGAAGTTTGAAATTTTTCGAGAGTCACTTGCAAATTTTCTTATCAACCCGCTTTTCGATGGGTTTGATTTTGGAATTATGTTTCAAAGCAAAAGTCTGTTTGCGAATTTTTGGAAAACCAGGCGGAATTTTTTGAAATGAGTCATTTGCAAATATTCTCATGAGCACTGTGGATTTGATACTTTAAATAACAAATTTCTCGGCTTTTGATAGCTTTGATTTTGAAAGTAGGCCTGTTTTCAAAACAAAACCGTATTTGCGAATTTTTGAAAAACGAAATTTGCAAATATTCTCATGAAAATTTGCGGATTTGAACCTTTGAGGAGCAAAACTGTTGTGTGAATTTTTTGAAGAGAAGGTTCGGAATTTTTCGAAATGTGTTATTTGCAAAATATTCTCATGACAATTTGCAGATTTCGAAAATGAAGACTCTTTGCTTTCGATTGTAAAATAGGTTCTTGATTTTGTTGATAAATTCAGAAGTGTTTAAATTGACAATGGCATTTCCTTTATTTTTCGGAAAAACCATGATCTTTAGGAACCGAATTGAAGTTTTGAGGATCAAAATTTTCGTCTTTGGATAGGTTTAATTCTGGAGTTAGGGTTTGAAGCAAAATTCTGTTCGTGTATTTTTGGAAGACCATGCAGATCATGTTTTAAAATTTTCGGAACGTTTTATGTGGAGAGACAATCTTGTGAAAATTTGCCAATTTTGACAATGAAGAAAATTTTCTTTCGATTTTAACGTGGGTTATCGATTTTGTTGACTTCTTCAGAACTTTCTAAACTGAGAATGACATTTTGCCTTTGTTTGGTCGAAAAATCGTGATTATAGAATTGGATTTAAAGCTTTGAGGAGCAAATTTCTCGTCCTTGGATATTTTGGATTTTTGAATTAAGCCTTATTCTGAAATTCTGAAAACAATTGTTGTCTAGTTTCTCTAATTCGTTAACATGACATGGGATTTTGCAAGAGGAAGCTGAAAATTGGGTTTTATTTTTGAGGACAAGAAAGTGAGGGTTAAAATAAATCCCACATTTTATGTCTGTGTTTGGATAATTGAAGGATCTGCTACGAGATATCCTGCTCGTTGAGCTTTGTGAAACGAATCAGAGCTAATAACAGAAAGACGTTTTCTAGCTTTGTTCCGCTTCAAATTTTAGCGACTTCTTTTAAAAAATTGCCACTTCCACTTCTTTTCATCTATGCATACAATAACACAATAATAAAACACTTACCTTCTCAAATGCATGTTTGACATCGAACGACATACAACCCAAGAACTCACTGGTCCTGCAACCAAACACCCATTATAAACCACCATCCCTCAAATTACAATACAAGCGTGTTTACAATGCAAAATAATGAACTGGAAATGATCAATATTAAATGAGCCCCAATCGATGCATTCGAGCACCCTCCACTGTAACAATAACACCAGTCCCTCGGCTCCCGAATAAACTGGTTGACCACCCGCATATGGTGATTATCGAGTCGGGTCCCCTCCGAACGTGTTTGCGTTGTTTCGATAGAAATCTCGATTATGCAGAGTATACGGGCAAATGCACCGCCTTTAGGCGTTATATCCACTGATAAATCCCACCGCACTAACCCTACCATACAGATGTTTTGATTGGATCTATTCGCCTGGAACAATTTGGGGCCGCTTCCAGCTGGTTGTTAACGTTCAGGGGCTATTAGCCTTATCAATTTACCACATGATAATGTCAACCCGGCGTCTGCTAAAATCTCTTCATGTAAAGAGCGGACTCTAGGACAAAATTGGCGATTAAAACGAGATTTAGGGTCAAAATTTGAGAAATTTTAGGATCTTTTTTTGTATTTTTCCTGGTAATTGGTGAACATTTTAATTTTAACTACAATTTTAATAAATTTGATTATTGGCAGTATCCAACACTTCAGTCAATAATAGGTATCTCATACAAAAATAATTATTTGTTTTCAATTTTTTTTATAGATTTCGATAGATTTCACAAAGAAACATCTTATAGACCAAAACTGCAGAACGCCTCTTCACAAAAAAAAATTGTGAAAAAAGAAACTCAACTAGCGTAACTCAGACATCAATACGAGAACTTAAGTTTCATAAATACCAACTACGAATTAATTGGTGTAAGATTAACAAAATTAAAAAAATATATCAATAAAGCTCAAACAGTCAAAAAAACTAGACTAAGTCGTTGGTAAAAATGGGCATTTTACTAGAGTAACTAATGTAGCAAAAGTTTTAGATGGACAGTTTTCAGATGGCGTAAATATAGACACGAAAAATCTAGAAAAACATATTATAATAAATGTAAATAATACTGTAATAATTTCCAATATAGTAACTAGTTAGTGAATAACATAGCTAGCTAATAGAGTAACAGAATACACCGACATAGTTAGTTTTAATTCGTAAATGTGTAGTTTAAGTCCAAATATGTATTATCTAAGTTATAAGTGTTGCAAAAAATGATATGTAATAAAATGCTAGCCCCGCCCACCCGCCCTCTATTTTCTTAGGTGGTATGTTAACTGCCAAAATAAGTTTTTCCTTATAAAATGCTAGCCCCACCCTGTATTTTCTTGGAAGATATGTAATTTGCAAAAACAGTTTTATCTTAGCAAATACTAACCCCGCCCACCCACCCTCTATTTTATTGGAAAGTATGTCATCTGCCAAAATCAGTTTTATCGTAGCAACCCCACCCAAACTCTTCTCATTCTCACGACTAAATTTATTTCTGTTTAGTATAAGATCATCCATTTCAATCAGAGCGGACAAAATCAATCACTGAAATGGAGATGGGGTGGGTGGGCGGGGCTAATTATGTTCTTCTGTGGAGTGAGAGTAAAAACTAACAGAACCTAGGATGAGAAAAAATAAAAAAAAAATAGGCGCTAGTCGCAACTTTTGTGTTATACTATTTGCTATCAAATTTATTACTTATTTCGTACACTTGATATGACTTAAGTAACATTTTTAAACAAATTGTAAATATTGCTAGAATTCAATTGGTGATACTGGAAAAACAGTAAGAATTTCCAATAAAACAAGGCCGAAAATTAATTCTGGATGTCGAAATCTACAAGAAAATCTTCTAGCTCAGTTTCGAAAATGTATCAAAACCAGTGAAATTTTATAAAATGCTCGCCCCGCCCACCCGCTCTCTATTTTCTTGATAGATATATGATTTGCCGAAAACAGTCTTATCTTAGCAAATACTAGCCCCGCCCACCCGCCCTCTATTTTCTTGGAAGATATGTGATTTGCCAAAATCAGTTTTATCTTAGCAAGTACCAGTCCACTCCCACTCTTCTCATTCTAACCACTAATTTTATTTTTGTTTACTATAAGATCATTCATTTCATTCAGAGCAGACATCAATCACTGAAATGGAGATAGGGCGGGTGGGCGGGGCTAATTTTGTTCTTCTGTGGAAAGAGAATGCAAACTAATAGAATCTATGACGCGAAAAAAGAAAAAAAGTCGTTGGTCGCAAGTTTTTTGTTATACTATTTGCTATCAAATTTATTTCTTATTTCGTGCACTTGACATGACTTCAGTAAATTTAAAAAAAAACTGTAAAAATTGTCATATTTCAATTGGTAGTACTAGAAAAATGATAAGAGTCCCAAAAAACAAAACCGGAAATTAATCTGGATGTCGAAATGTAGAAGAAAATCTCTAGGTCAATCTTAAAAATGTGTCAAAATCATTCATACCTTATTAATTGCTAGCCCCGCCCACCCGCCCTCTATTTTCTTGGAAGATATGTGATTTGCTAAAAACACTCCTACTTTAGGAAATACTAGCCCCGCCCACTCACCCTCAATTTTCTTGGAAGATGTGATTTGCCAAAATCAGTTTTATCGTAGCAAGTACTAGTCCCGCCCACCCCCACCCTTCCCATTCTAAGGACTATTTTTATTTTTGTTTAGTATAAGATCATTTATTTCAATCAGGGCAGATATCAATCACTGAAATGGAGATAGGGTGGGTGGGCGGGGCTAATTATGTCTTTCTGTGGAAAGAGAATGAATACTAATAGAATCTAGGATCTGAAAAGAGAAAAAAAAAGGCGCCCCGCCCACTCGCCTTCTATTTTTTTGGAAGATATGTGATTTGCTAAAAACACTCTCACTTTAGGAAATACTAGCCCCGCCCACTCACCCTCAATTTTCTTGGAAGGTAAGTGATTTGCCAAAATCAGTTTTATCGTAGCAAATACTAGTCCCGCCCACCCCACTCTTCCCATTCTAAAGACTAATTTTATTTTTGTTTAGTATAAGATCATTTATTTCAATCAGGGCAGACATCAATCACTGAAATGGAGATAGGGTGGATGGGCGGGGCTAATTATGTCCTGTGCAAAGAGAATGAAAACTAATAGAATCCAGGATATGAAAGGAGAAAAAGAAGGCGCTCCGCCCACTCGCCCTCATTTTCTTGGAAGATATGTGATTTGCTAAATACACTCTTACTTTAGGAAATACTAGCCCCGCCCACCCACCCTTAATTTTCTTGGAAGGTAAGTGATTTGCCAAAATCAGTTTTATCGTAGCAAATACTAGTCCCGCCCATCCCACTCTTCCCATTCTAAAGACTAATTTTATTTTTGTTTAGTATAAGATCATTTATTTCCATCAGGGCAGACATTAATCACTGAAATGGAGAGAGGGTGGGTGGGCGGGGCTAATTATGTATTTCTGTGGAAAGAGAATGAAAACTAATAGAATCTAGGATATGAAAGAAGAAAAAAAAGGTGCCCCGCCCACCCGCCCTCTGTTTTCTTGGAAGATATGTGATTTGCTAAAAACACTCTTACTAAATAAAATACAAGCCCCGCCCACCCACCCTCAATTTTCTTGGAAGATAAGTGATTTGCCAAAATCAGTTTTATCGTAGCAAGTACTAGTCCCGCCCACCCCTACTCTTCCCATTCTAAGGACAATCTTTATTTTTGTTTAGTATAAGATCATTTATTTCAATCAAGGCACGCATCAATCACTGAAATGGAGATAGGGTGGGTGGGCGGGGCTAATTATGTCTTTCGGTGGAAAAAGAATGAAAACTAATAGAATCTAGGATGTGAAAAGACAAAAAAAAGGCGCCCCGCCCACCCACCCTCTATTTTCTTGGAAGATATGTGATTTGCCAAAATCAGTTTTATCTTGGCTAGTACTAGTCCCGCCCACCCCCACCCTTCCCATTCTAAGGACTTATTTTTTATTTTTTTAGTGTAAGATCATTTATTTCAATCAGGGCAGACATCAATCACTGAAATGGAAATAGGGTGGGTGGGCGGGGCTAATTATGTCTTTCTGTGGAAAGAGAATGAAAACTAATAGAATCTAGGATATGAAAAGAGAAAAAAAGGCGCCCCGCTCACCCCCCTCTATTTTCTTGGAAGATATGTGATTTGCTAAAAACACTCTTACTTTAGGAAATACCAGGCCCACCCACCCACCCTCAATTTTCTTGGAAGATAAGTGATTTGCCGAAACCAGTTTTATCTTAGCAAGTACTAGTCCCGCCCACCCCCACTCTTCCCATTCTAAGGACTAATTTTATTTTTGTTTATTATAAGATCATTTATTTCAATCAGGGCAGACATCAATCATTGGAATGGAGACAGGGTGGGTGGGCGGGGTTAATTATTTTCTTCTATGGAGTAATAGAAACTAGGATGTGAAAAAAAATCGTTAGTCACAGCTTTTTTGTTTTACTATTTTCTAATTTATTTCTTATTTCATGCACTTGACACGACTTAAGTGAAATTAAAAAAAAAAAAATTAGGTTGGCATATTTCTATTGGCGTTACTGGAAAAACGGTAAGGATTTCCAAAAAAATAAGGCCGAAAATTAATTGTGGATGTCGAAACCTATAAGAGAATCTAGCTCAATTTAGAAAATGTGTCAAAATCAGTCACACCTTATAAAATACTAGCCCCGCCCACCCGCCCTCTATTTTTTTGGAAACTATGTCATCTGCCAAAATCAGTTTTGTCGTAGTAAGTACTAGCCCCGCCCACCCCCATTCTTCTCATTCTAACAACTAATTTTATTTCTGCTTACTATATAAGATCATTCATTTCATTCAGAGCGAATAAAATCAATCACTGAAATGGAGGCAGGGTGGGTGGGCGGGGCTAATTATATTCTGTGAATTGAGAATAGAAACTAATGTAAAAAAAGAAGAAAAAAAGCTCTAGTCGCAGCTTTTTTTGTTATACTAGGAGTAGTTGCTATCAAATTTATTTCTTATTTTGTGGATTTTAAAAAAATT